TACAATATGCTGCTGAGAATATAGCCCAGAAGAAGCGTATAGTATAGCTTTTATTTTGGAAAGAGCCATTTCTCTGTAATAAACTCTCTTTTCCAAAGATGAGTGATTCCTCAATCAGATACAGGGCTTGCAAAATCGCTAGCCCGACGTCTGTTTTACAAATTTGGAAGATCCCAAGAAGTTTCTCTAGGTATGTTTGTTTTTTTTAAGCATGTTTGAGATAAATTAGATAAAAAAAGCTTTCCGTCTTTCTCCAAAAGTCCATGATAATATAATATAATATAATATAATATAATATAATATAATATAATATAATAAAGATATATTAGGTAGTTTTCCCCTCACTCACATTCCTCCAGTTCAAAAAGTCTGCATCTGTTGGCTTAAAAAAAAAAAAACCTTGTTAGAAAGAAAACTTTTTCCTCTGTGATCTGAGGGTAAAAGTTCCTCAATGGAAAAGGTTAGAAATGAGAATATTAGAGGGGCAGCTCAGGTTGAGCAGTTAGGACTCAAACTTAGAAAGGCAGGGTTGAGACGGTCTGGACATGTGCAGAGGGCTGGATGTTGAATATGCAGCTGGTAAGGAGGAGGAAGGTTTATGGATGTGCAGGAGTGAAGGAGAACATGGAGAGGGTTGATGTGGGATGCTTGATGTAGAGATCCCATCCCATAGCAACAACTGTAATGCCAAAGAGGTCATTTCTTGAAGACGTTAAGCTGTTAATTTTCATATTTTTTCTATTCATAAGCAAGATTAGACAAAATAAGTATTAAAGATTAAGTTTCTGAAAATGTCGTAGGTTTCACGAATGGTTATTTCATTACACATCATAAAGGTAAATATGTATTGTATGTATGTAAAATTCACCAATAAGCAAATTTTACATCTAAATAATTGATATAGAAGAAGATAATTATGGAAAAGTCAAAAGTGAATTTTGGATAACAGGTGGCATTAGTTACACTAAAAAAAAAAACTAAAAAAAAAACTACAACAATAAATGAAAAAAACTCACTGCTAAATTTATTGAACAGGTCATTGTCTGCATTTTAAAACTGACCTCAAAATTAGGACACATTTTAATACATTATTTTCTGTAAAAGTACAACAGTAAAAGTTTCTCACACCATCTACAACTGCCTGTGCTTCATTGGATATGCAGCCTTTCTCTTTCATTAAGCATCCACAGTGCTGCACCTCAGTCGGCAGCCTTTGAGCCTCTCAGCTTTTCTCCTGTTTGGGACTGAAACCTGTCCGACTCAGCTGCTGTGGATTTCCGGAGTCTGCTCACTTCATCTATGGCTCCCCTGCTGCTCTGTGCAACCAGCAACCTAGGTGTGGCTAGGCAGTCTGGCTAGGCAAAATTACCTTTTTATACCAATTTCTATATGGTCAAAATGACATTGTCATCTTTCTATCCCTATTACCCCCAAATTCACTATATAATGAATAATTCAATTTTTGAAAAAGTAATGAAACATGAGATCATGGAGTTTAATTGCAGAGAGTTACACTATTTTTAAAATGGCCTCAAAATGACCTCCGTCTTGGTTCTTGTGTTAAATATTTAAAACTGTGATGTTTCTCCTTTAAACTGGTTTAAAACATCTGGAAAGAAACAGAAATTGACATTTCTATGTCAATAGAATGTAAAAGGTTGAAAAGCAAATTTAATTTGAGGTTTATCTTAACATGGTCATGAACTCCAATAGCTAACTGGCAACATTTAACATTTTTAAAATCAGAGATATTCTGAGCATACTTTTATTTTTCTAAAATTAAGAAGGGGCTTTAATTTTTTAAAAGGTTCATAGCATTAACAGTTTCATATTCTTTAACTGTAAAACATGTTTATGCTCATCTAGATTTGCCACAAATTCTATTGAGGTGCTTTAAAGTGTGCAGATCTGAATAATTGTTTTGTTTGCTTAGCATTAAAAATGTGGTCAGGGGAGCGGAAATTAAAAAGGAGGTTGTTTCAACTTTTCTTTACTGTAGCCTTCTCATTTACTTGAATGGAGAAGGAATTTTAAGGATCTTTTATGGTTTTTCCGGGTTTTTTTTTTATTTTTAAAGGCATAAAAGGTTTACTGGAAAAAATGACAGCATTGGTGTAAATAGTGTATCTACAACAAAGGTGTGGAAAGCAATGGGACAAGAGTAAGAAGAGAGACAGATTAAAATCAGTGTTGAATGAATTTTCTGGCAAAAATTACATGTGAGTACTGAAAGCTGAAATATTTTGCCTGCAATTGTATGAAAAGGAAAAAAAGACTGAACAGCATTTGTTGAAATTACTGTTAAAAATGGAAATAATTACAAGAGCTATAATTAGGAGCTACGGGGCATCAAAAACTAGAAGGCTTTGGTCTTAAATTATTTTGTCTCCATGGTACTGAATGACATTACCTCAGGAAAAGTTGAATGAACCCAACAATCATACAACGAAAAACTATCATGGTGCTGAGTCTTTGACCCATTGATTTGAAATTTATTGTGGACGCATCATTCTTCTTTTATTTTATTTATTATTTTTTTTACAGTAAGAGATGATTTATGTTCAAGCTCTTTGAACTTTTTTGAGGTTTGTTCCTCCTTGTGCCTCTGAGATTGTTATCTATATTTCTGGTTCATGGATTATGTTTGTCTCCCTTTGGTTCCAGTCTGTATTTTTATAAGGTTATGTAGCCTTTTGTTATCATCATCTTTCCCTTTCTGTCTCGTCAGTCAATCATGTCTTCATGTTTATTTATTGCCTGTCACTGTATCACGTTCATATGTTTTAGTACTGGTCTCAGTCTTTGTTACTTCCTGTTTTATTTTGATAGCCCCTCATCTCGAGTGGATTGCGTTTAGTTTTGGGTCCCCTTGTCTCGTTAATCAGATTCCATTCAGCTATGTTCCCTGGTGTTTCCCTGATGTGTATATATTGTTTGTAATGTAGTCCCTTGTGGTTGTGTCTTCCCTTGCAGTTTGTGCTCTCTGCTGTGAAGTTTGGATTTTCCTTGTTTTGGACTTTTTAGTTTAATAAAACTACCTTTAATTTACCCTTTGTGTTTCTGAATCATGCATTTGAGTGCTGCTACTTAACCAGCCTTGTTAAAAACTCGATAAACAGAAACTTAATTTGTTGAACCAGGTTAATTTCATTCTGTTACAAAAACATGGGTAAAAGTAGCTGAAGATTGTAATGAATTAAACAAAAAAAACCTGAACAACACAAATTTAGATCTTCATTAGACCAATGAACATTCAGATGGGAAGAATGAAGTTATATTAATTCAAAAATGTTCCCTGTTTTAACTCATTATTGTTGGGTTGTTTTTTTTTTTCCAGTTTCTGCTCAAGGATTGTTAATATAATTCTCAAAATTACTTTTGACAAGACTCACGGTGAACCTGACATTATATTTTTCATGGACAACAAAGCTGAACTGTGTATGAAATATGGGAATTTGTTTTTCATAAGGTATTTAAAAGAGAAAAAAATTATAAAATGATTACTCCAAATTACATCTGTTGGAAGGCTGTTGACAACTGGGGGGAAAAAATAGCTCCTCCTTCACAGTAAACTTGCACCAATAAAGACTGCACACCTGAAGTAGGGTGTACAGCTTTCTTCATTCTTACAATTTAAGTTCCCATGTTTGGAGCTTACTTAAACTCTGTGATTCACAGTTTTGTAAAAATAGGATGACTCCTTGAACAATACAACAGGTTTTGCTTCTATACTTTCTGTTACTACATGCAGCTTAAGTGGTGAAATCAATTTCCAGTATGTTTTGCAAATATGTTCAAATCACCATTTTTTCAGTGGTAAGTGTGTTTGTATTTGTCAGCTAAGCTTGTTTTCTCACCGTGGTGGTTTTCACTCTGCCTCCTGGTTGAGTACAGGTCCAGCCTGACTGATTGACCAGGAGATTACAGCCTTCATCCTCTAAGCACGGAGTCATCTCACACCACTGTCGACTCGTGATGATACGAACTGAGGAGGACGACAAGAGGAAGAAGAGGTAAGTATGCTTGAGCTTCAATTTTAAGTTTTTACGTTATTTGTGTTTTTTCATCAGCATCTTATGGCTGAACAACCCCCCCCATCTCCTTTATCATAAATGATGATCTTATTCTTGTTGATGTTCCTCCTTTTACTCCTAGACTGTTAATAATGAAGAAATAGGTGCAGATACACAACTGTATTTGAAAATTCTACATAATCTGTAATCTATATTCTGCAATGGCACTCCGAGTTTGCAGTGTTTGCATAGAGTGTAAATAATTGTTGAACATACCAAGCTACTCATGCACAGTCTTTACAGAACATTGACAATTTTATTAAGATACACATACAAAATATAACAAGAAATACCAAGGGCTTTATGGTAAACATTGGTGAAATAACCCTTTAAAACAATGTTGCAGCAGATGTAGAGTAACAAGGGTTCTGTGATAGTTAACCTCTGTCCAGCATTTTCAGTCAGATGTGTGTGTGACTCTGGATCATGTCGAAAGAAGACCATCAAACATCTGTTATTAACAGCTGTATGTGTTTTCAATTAAACACTATAAGTGGACAACACAAAATAATTTAATGTTTCTCATTATGCAAAGGAAATGTGAGGAAAAGGTGTCAAGGGTAAAAATAAATAAAGATGAACATTAGTCAGACATTTACATGCACTCATCATGTGCATAAATATCATGGTAATTTGGGCCTTACCAGATGATCAGAATGAAAGGCAAAAGCAGTCACTCTACACTCTACAGCTAATGACATGTGAAAAAGTTTTCAAAGAAACTGGAGTCCAGTTTAAAACTTAGCTCATAATTCAACAGCTCGTAAAACCATCTTTAGCAGCAATAACTCAAAGTAGCCATTTTCTTTACAATGTCATCATTGAGTGATAGAGGGATTTTGGTCCACTCCTCTTTACAAAATTGTTTCAGTTCATTGAGGTTTGCGTCATCTGTTTAAATGCAACAATATTTCAGTTGGGTTGAGGTCTGCACATCGCCTGGGCCATTTGAACACTTTGGTTCTTTTTTTTTTGTAGACATTCTTTTCTAGATTTTATTGTGAGGGTTATTTTTTTTCTCTCTTGGGCATACAACAACAACAACAACAACAACAACAACAACAACAACAACAATAAAAATCTCCTTCAAAAACATAACAAAGAACATAAGAGGTTTAACCTAAAAATCCCCCCAATCACAATCTTATTAAATATCCTAAAGGTCTTAAAGGATGTGCTGCTAATACTATTACAGTAGATCTTTAAGAGGTCTTGCAGAGTGCATATCTGGACAAGTGAAAGCAGCTGTGGGAGCATGAGGGTTACTTACCAGGCAAGTGGGTTTAATGTTGTGGCCAATAAATGCAACATAAAGGTAATCTAATGCAGTGTGCATAATTAATGTAGCATGACATAGCATGAACAAAGCTTATGACATGCCATATAATATATTCTAATATATTATGTAAAATAGAATGACCTGAGTTATCAGCACTATGTGGAAAACACACACACACACACACACACACGCACACACACACACACACACACACACACACACACACACACACACACACACACACACACACACCACTTCACTTGCAGGGATATTCCTGCTGTTTGAAGTGATTCTTTACTGACCCAGTCTTTCAGTTCTTGCTCTCATTCCTGGCACTAAATTACACACACTCTGAGCCATGTCTGGGGAAACACAAAGAAAATGAAAGACTGTAGAGGCCTGTAATACATAACCTGGTAATCAGTTCGCCCATTGGAGCAGTGGTGTGATTGTGATAGCCTGTGAGCCCCCAATTATCAAACCAATTTCCTACTGAACAACAGTAGCATTGCTCAGCCATTCTTACATCCCCTCACACCTCTATCCAGATGGAGAGATCCTTCAGGAGGAGGAAACAGTTCAGCTTCAGCAGCTCATTTTTATTGAAAATCCTATTATTAGAATTTAGGTTTAGGACACAATATAAAATTACAAAGATTAGTATGGTTTTAATTTAAAATATAAATCTCTATAAAGATTTCTGGCCTTTGTTGGAAATGGAGTATATTTTCTTGTTCCTGGTATCATTAATAGGAATAAATGAAAAATCATTTGTTGTCATATTGAGTGTATACTAGCAATATCATCTGTAGTGTGTAGGATGACTTCGCCTTCTTCTTGATTTCTAAAGTTAAGGATAAATTGGTGGAAGCGGAAGGAAAAATATTGCACAGAGTTCATTGAGGAGTTGAGATGGGCTCTGAGTGGTTACCACGATCGTGGCTCAAGAGTTGGGAGTTCGCCTTGTAATTGGAAGGTTGCTGGTTCAAGCCTCGGCTTGGACAGTCTCGGTAGTTGTGTCCTTGGGCAAGGCACTTCACCCGTTGCCTACTGGTGGTGGTCAGAGGGCCCGGTGGCGCCAGTGTCCGGCAGCCTCGCCTCTGTCAGTGCGCCCCAGGGTGGCTGTGGCTACAATGTACTTGCCATCACCAGTGTGTGAATGTGTGTGTGAATGGGTGGATGACTGGATGTGTAAAGCACTTTGGGGTCCTTTGGGACTAGTAAAGCGCTATATAAATACAGGCCATTTACCAAATGACTGGGAAAGTACCCCTGAAGTGCTGAGGGAAACACGGTATTTGATGTATCCTCTGGAAAAAGGAACAAAGACAAGCAGACTTGGTAGTGGTATGACCAAACAAAGGAAAGGATCTGAAGGAAGAGGAAAAAGCAAAGAAAAAGTCGATTAGCCAAAGAGATGAAAAAAGTAGACAAGAGTACTGGGAGTTTAGGCGTATGGGAAACAGAGAGGTAGCAAAGACAAAGGAAAAGGCTTATATTGAGTTGTATGTGATGTTGAGGAGTAAAGGACTTGTGCAGAAGCTGGAAAAGATGTGCAGAAGATTAGGGTGATTAACGATGTGGCTATTGAGATGAGCAGTGAGAAGACTGTGTTAAAAAGATGGAAGGAGTACCTTGAGGAGCTGATGAATGAAGAAAATCAAAAGAGGATGGATGGAGGACAGTTTCATGGTCCATAGCTCCATGAATTTGGAAAAAATAAGTGTGAGCTCAGTTGTGCTCCTGACTTAATGCAGCATCTTTGGATTTTGACTCTTACTCTTGAAAAAACCTTTTTTGGTCTCAGGATCATGGGCAGAGACCAAGCTGTCAGCACTAGCATCTGTCTTTGACATGAAATTTGGGTCAGTTCGACATCAAAGTTGACCTCTTCACAAGTTTAACGTCCAAGATGAAATTGTACGTGAAGATTTCCACAACTAGACTTACAGAAAGTGATCAACACAAAATTTGAACATAATAGGAATGCTTCACTTAGAGGTTTGCTTTTTGTAAGTTCAGTAATTTGATAATAATCAGACACTGTATTAGAGCCTAGTTATTTAAATCTAAAACATGAATTGCTTTCTAAATATCTGCTTACTATTATTATGTCTGCCTTGTTTTAAAAAAGGGGGTTTCAAAACTTTAGATTCTTAGATCAAAAAAATGATTGAATTTCTTACTAAATTTTTGTTTAAATTAGTAGTTTTTATTTCCTCATGTATACCACATTCCCCTGAAAGTCTCTTAATGTCTGACCAATAACAACACAGGATGGATGAATGCATTTCAAGGTGAATTACGTTGCAGAGTGTAGAAAACAGGAAAGAGACTTTGAATCAATAGTGTGAAATGGAGAATCAGTGGATTAATAGCATGTATCGGTAAGTACCCGAACACCTGTGAGCGCTGCATCACTACTCTGACAAATTAATGACTGCAATGCAGATCCATCCACCACCGCCAAGCACAGTTCATTTATCCAGAAAGCGAGGAGGCCATTTTGTAATGACTTCATTCATCAAAGAGGGTGACCTGAAGGAGGGTTGCTCCTTTGTCTCTAGAGAATGAGACAATCCTACAGGAAAGAACACGTTAGGACTGAAGTGCAAATGAGGCAAACAAAAAATCTGTGCTAAACTTTAAAGTGGACACAGACACCTGTTTTACATGTTCTTTTTTCCCCCGGTTGTAAATACACTTTGAATTCCAGCTAAATGTTTCTCGCTTATTCTTCTCTACAATCTCCTCCGTCATCAGGTCTGATGCCGGTGCTGTCAGTGAATGTTTGTTTGTTAGACTCAGATGTTAAAACATCTGAGTCTAGGACTTGTTTTACAGTCTCTGAATACTCTGGCTTTTTGACCTTTGGGTTTGTCTCCACCTGATGAGAAAGAAAAAGGTTTCTTTCACTCATCTGTTTGGACTCAGAGCCGCGGTGGTTAGCACTGTTCTCCCCGTGTTTTCGTGGGTTCTCTCTGGGTACTCTACCTAGGTAATAAGCACATCAAACCAATAGGTGTGAGTGTGAATGGCTGTCTGTCGTTAGTCGTTGCGTTAGTCCTGCAACCAATTAGCGATCTGTCCAGGGTGTACCCGACTCTCGCCCTGTGGTAGCTGGGATAAGTGGAAGAAAATGGGTGGAAGGGCTCAGAACACACAGTCTTTTTTAGTCATTACCAGGAGTAAGTGGTATTCTCAAAACTGTAACAGTTTTTATTTTATTTTACTACTTAAATCATGGAAGAACAGCAGAGGAATAAAAAAAAAAACGTGTTGACTGTTTACTTTTTATTCATTTCTGTGAGCATGAAATCCTTATAAAATTAAACACACAGAGTTTTAATCAAACTTATCCAGAGTTTAAATTTCAATTTTTCCATTCTCATAGACTTTGTCTATCTATAAATAGTTTATATAAGTCTGTGTGGATGTTGATCTTTTCCCTGAAACAGTGTGAGCTTTGGCTCAACTATCTAAAATCAACCCGAGTGGTTCCTGAGCAGAGCTATGAAGGGACGGATAAAAACAGACTGTGGTATGATTTTGCCCCCTGTGCTCTGCTGGTGTAAGTCAGCAGCAGAAAACAATAAAAATTAAAGGCAAATGTTGCTTGAGATACAAGCTTGA